GCTCACCACCGATGGCCAGTCCAACACCCGCATGCGCATCGACGGGCTGGACATCGGCCGCGGCATGCCGGGCGGCCACCACCACCCTCCCCACCTCCACGGCGCGCACCGATCTGGCGCCGCGGCTTCCGGCTCTGCGGCCAACCGCAGCGGCAGGCGGGCTGCCGAGGCGCAGCGCAACGATCCCGTGGCCGCGGTGCAGGCCTTCACGCCCCAGCCCACATCGACGCGCTGGAGCGAGGAGATGCGCATCGTCCACTCGACGACGGCCGTCGCCAGCGAAAAGGCGGGCCGGCTGCGCGCCCACCTGATCCGGGCGCTCATGCCCGGCCTGGCTCGCAAGCGCGAGGCGGACCGCAAGCAGCGCGCCGAGACCGAGGCCGAGCTCAAAAAGGCGCAAGAGGCCAAGGAAAAGATCCAGAAGGAGCTCGAGGCGACGCGAAACCGTCTGCGCGAAGAGGAGGAGCGCGCCAGGCAGGAGCAGGCGCAGGCCGAAGCCGAGGCCTCTGCCGCGGCCCGAGCCGAGGAGGAGCGCCAGCGAGAGCACGAGCAGCAGCAGCAGCAGCAGCAGCAGGCGGCTGAAGCAGCTCCGGCGGCCACGCCCGCCGAAGGCGCCGATGTCGAGATGGCCGATGCCGATGCCGATGCCGCACCGGCTGCCAGCGGCGAGGCGGATGCTGCGCCTGCGCCTGCGCAGCAGAGAGTGACCACGCGGATCAATGGCGAGGAGATCGACATCACCGACACTGGCATCGACCCGACGTTCCTCGAGGCGCTTCCGGACGACATGCGCGAGGAGGTGCTCAATCAGCACTTCCGCGAGCGCCGCGCCGCCGAGGCCACCAGCAACCTGGCGCAGCCCTCCAACATTGCGCCCGAGTTCCTCGACGCGCTGCCGCCGGAGATCCGCGCCGAAGTCATTCAGCAGGAGGCGCTCGAGAGCAGCCGGAGGCGCATGCGCGAGCGCGCCGAGCAGGAGCGGGAGCGGGAAGGCGATCCCGGCAACCGCGACCAGGGCGCTGTCGGCCAAGCCCGAGGCCCGGTCGATATCGACCCTGCCGATTTCCTGGCCAGCCTCAACCCGGACCTGCGAAACCAAGTGCTGCTCGAGCAGGACGACTCGTTCCTCGGCAGCCTCCCCGCAAACATCCTGGCCGAGGTCGAGAACCTCCGCCGCCAGCATCGCCACTTTGACGACAACGGCGACGACGTCCCGCCCCCCGGCCGTGCCCGCCGCCCTGCCGGCGCGGTCGGTGACGGGGCTCGGCGAGAAGGAGCCGCGGCCGAAGGCGGTCACGGCGTAGCGGGCAAGCCTCCGGCCGTTGCCAGGGACGCCATCCAGCTGCTCGACAAGCCGGGCCTGGCCACCTTGGTCCGCCTGCTCTTCTTCCCGCAGATGAACGGCAAGCAGACGGGCCTATACAAGGTGCTTGCCAACCTCTCGGAAAACTCCAAGACGCGCGCCGAGCTGCTCAACCTGCTGCTGATGGTGCTTTCCGACGGCACCGCCGACGCCAACGCCGTCGACAAGACGTTTGTCTCGATGAGCCACCGTGCGAGCAAGATCCACGCGACGCCCGCGCGGCCGACGCCGAAGCGCTTCAACTCGGGGCCCGCCAGCGTCCAGCACCAGCAACAGCAGGCGAGC